TTCGGCCCCCCTCCCCCAAAAGGGGTCACAACCGACAGGTTGAGAACCATTCTTCTAATTGATCTTCCCAGATTTTGCTTTCTCTGAAATAAACAATTTTACTTTTTGCCTGGGGAGATGACTATTGAAGAAGGAAGAGTAACCCAGCAGGGGCACAAATCCCTCTCCTGCGTACAAGGGGTTGGAATTAATATAAATCTTTTTGAAAGTAGTTGTAATAGCCAGTCATGTATTAGCTTGTGCAGTGCTGGTGATACGGACAAATTCAAGAAAGAACATTGTTTTTAATTAACTTTTTGTCCTCTGTGAAAAGAGATGTGGGTTATACAGAGCTACTGCAGAGGATCCTCTTGTCGTGAAGATGTTCCAGAAGTTCTCGTGAGGAAGCTTGCTAATCCTTTTCTAGGACACAGATGATTAGGCAGAATCAATGTTTGTCCTTTGTCAACCTGCTGAGCTATCTCAGCGAAGGGCGTCAGATTTCAGCTGTGAGGCGTCTTTGTGGATTAATAAAGGGGCATTGGTGATGGGGAGCGACTTCCATAGTCCTCTCCTCCTTCTGTCGGGAGAGCCACCACGGCCTGAGGGTGGAACCTGGAAATGGTCGAAAGGAGATCTTTCCAGCTTGTGTGTGCCCAGGACCGTCCAGTGATTCCCCTCCTCCCCGGCGTACAGTCCACGGCCCTCCCCAACCAAGCCCCTGCATCTCACACGCATGCTCTCATGGGCACACCTGCTGCCGCCTCCAATCGCATCTCCGACCGACGCCCCGGCCCATCCCGGGCTTCCAAACCAATCCCCCACCACCACCACCCCCAGCTAGCCAATGCCATCGGCATCACACACAGAGAGACACACATGCGCACTCACCCCACCTCCCTGTCACCTACACTGCTCTGCTTTTTCTTCGCGCTGTGTGCATCCTTTGGCCTATCACGGACCAGCGCCTTTATCCATCTGATTCAGCGCCGCGTCCCCAGGCCTGCAGCACAGGAGGCCCGCAACGGAGTTGGTGAACAAATCCACCTGGCTACAGCGAACACGACTCACTTTGCTTTGCCTTGAAAAGATACCAAACACCTAGTTGGGCATTCGCAGCGTTAGTGCATGGGAGGGCGCTGATTCCCATATAACAGAAACCCTGCTGGGATCCCTTGAAGCAGGCTTCCTTGGTTCATTCAAAGTGGGCTTCGATATGCTGCTTCCCTTCACCCCCAGGAATGTTGTCATTGTGTTTCCAGAAGGGTTCAGTGGTATTCCTCCTATGGAAGGAAATTGCATCCATAAAATCGGACCGCTACTGCAGGTTCTCGTTCTCCCAGAGGAGGGATCATTTTGCTGGTTGCTCTTGGCACCACACTTAATTTATCTCTGAGATTTGAGGATGTCCCGGTTGTAAAGACATTACTGATTTTGTATATTTAGGGTGGTTTTTAGTGTGTGTTTCTTGTTTGGTTTGGTCTGGTTTTTTGTGTGTGTTTAATAAGGGTGGTGGGGGCTTTAAAGCCTTTTAATCTTTAGAGAAAATATCATAGATAGTATTACGCATTTCATTAAAAACCACTTGCTTTTTTAGTACCGTATTCAAAATTGAGTCCAAATCTCTCACTGTGCCTCTGAAGATCCTGAAAGTCAATGGTGACCAGCCATTTCTTACACTTGGGATCATGTTCTGCTCCCTCCCCTCTAGGCTTGACTTTATAATCGAGAAACATGTTACAGATTGTTGGTTTTCCCCCGGTTTCTTTTTTGTTGACTTTTTTTTTGTTTTTTTTTCCTTTTTTGTTTTCGGTTGGGGCGTTTGGTGCCTGCTCACCAACCTCTTTCAGCTTCAGAAATTCTGCAGTGTGTGCGGAGAGCCTCTGATTGCAGCGTGTGTGGGGTGAGGCAGGCAGCCTTCTACACGTACCGCCACTGGCCTCTTTGCTGAAGACAAAGAGACAACGAGGGCTCCGTGCACTGCCAAGAATGGGCCATGGTAATTTCAGTGGCACCATCCAGAGCTGCTCCGTCCGCATCAGTTGGATTCTGTGCAGCTGGCAAGAACACGTCAACATCAGATTGCATGGGGTTTTCATTGCAGAAATGGGAAAACGAAATGTGAGAAATGCCTGGCTTAGTGTCAAAGAAATACATGAGGAGGCTTCAAAAAGTCCGTGGAAAAATGCCACTTGTCCACGTAACAAGGATCTGTTGTCACTTTTCTGAGAGAGGTGCCATTAATGGTGTACAGGTCACTAAGTCACGGAGCATCATAGAGAGCAGGAGCGGGCATTGGGGGGATTTACCCCACTTGTGCTTTTTTGAAAGGTTTTTCTGCATACTCTTTTTGTGCTTTATGACAGTACCTATGTTTCTCTTTCATGCCAATGAACCGATCCCATGCAGTGATTAATTAAGTACACCAAGAGAATGAATGGTTACAAAGACCTATGGGCTCTTTGCTTTTGCCGTTCCCTTGGTGATCTTGGTTTGGCTTCTGCTGGGGAGCTCTCTGAGAACCTCAGTTATCTGCTCAGCCAGCTGGGGCGTTGGCTGCCTTGCCCCTTTGAGTGTATCTCAGTTTCCCCCTTCCCACTTAGGAGACGTACAGTCTAGCACTTCTTCGTAGGGCGCGCTTGGCTGCAACGTTTACGAAAGCAGATTGCTGAGCTTTTCTCTTTTTTGAATTTTTAGTTTAAGAAATAATTTAGAAGTCTTATCTTGCCCTGCAGAGCTACTGGTGGTTTCGAACTGCCTACCCTGCAGTTGATCACAGCCCAACGCATAACCACTATGTCACCAAGGCTCCTGCTGCTAAGCTCTTCTTCTAAGTGTGTCTGCGTGGATGAACCACCGACCTTTCAGCTAGCAGCTGGTTGCTGACCCATTTGTGCCACTCAAAGACCCTAGGCCTGTGTACTACCCCAAACAAGACCCCAAAGCCACTGCTGCCCAGGCCATTCTGAGTCATGGTGACCCTAGATAGTTTCTGGGGTTGGAAATCTTTTTAGAAGCAGCCTCATCTTTCTCTCTTGCTCACTCACTGCCACCGAGTTGATGCCAACTCATGGTGACCCCATAGGACAAGATAGAACTGCCTCTCTGGTTTCCAAGACGGTAACCCTATACAGGAGTCAGACGTCTCGTCTTGGTCTGTGTACTAGATTGTCAGAATTCAAATTTACTACTCATCGGCCGAAAGCTTTCAATTTAAAACTACCATTGCCCTTTCCCTCTTACTGAAATACTTTTAATATCACGGTTGAATTCCTATGTGTGTATATATTTCCCCCCAGATTCCAAAAGCAGTTTTGTATATATTCCAAAATTGGCTTTCTGTGTCCCTTTCTATGTGCTTCACCTTGTTCTTATCACTCTCAAGCCCGTCTGGCCCTTTTAGTCCCTGGCCTTCAGTTGACTGCCCCACGGACGCGTCTCTCAGGGTTCTTATATTCTTCCCAGCCCTTGTCATCTTGTATGTGTAAAAGAAAATTTCCCCTCCTAAGTTGGTGTTTTCTCATTTCCTCCTAATTTCAGAGTTCCTTTTTCCCCTTGTGCTATGGTGCATCTCCTCTTGTGTGTTTATCAAATCATTTTGTGAGCCAATGTCATATTTGGTATGTGACTTGTGATGATTGAGCTTCATTTCCTTACCTCTACCCTTTATGATTGTGTTTACTCAGACAAGTCTTACAACTAATAATAACAGTGCCTTCCTTTATGTCCTGGGATTTGTAAAATCCCCCCTGCTGGATTTCATGCAGTCCTTAGTGCAGATGAGCTAGAGGTGTGCCGGCTTTGGGTCACAGGAAGCACTCGGGCTCGACCCGGAGCCAGACCCCGCCTAGCTTCTGCTAGTCCGAGAGCTCCTGTGGATTTCAGCCCTGCTGCTTTGCCCCTTTTTGCTAACGGCTTTTGAAAATGTTGTCTTCTCAGCAAATATTTTCGTGGCTTCTTATATATACCCAAACTACATTCTAAGCTCTGGTCCTGTTGACCGATACTAGATGAAGGCTTTCCGAAAACAAACATAATTTGTTTGCTTGTCTAAAGACTCTTGAGATTGGTTCTAGATGTCATTAGGATAAAGGGAGAACTTGTTAGTAATTCATAACTTCGTTCCCTGAGAGTCTGACAACAGCAGTAAGCCTTGCCTGTTGGCTTTAATCTGCAGACTTGCCTGAGTGACTGTGATCAGTTTGGCTGAAGGCCTGTGTTAACCCTGCACACGCATCACCATTGGTAGCGGTTCTTGGTCTCTTTGGGGTTATTTCTAAGCACCATTCCCCATAAGATGTGATGTTGGGTTTCTGGTGCCGGCTTTTGAGGTCCGTAAAATGCCTACCTGAAAGAAAGAAGCAGTAAGCTCTCATCTCGGCTGCATGGGTGTTTCTGCTTGGTTACGGGTGCTGGGACCTTACAGGCTTTTTGCTGCAGACCCCCAGATTCTGCCAAAAAGAGAGTCATGAGCAGGTAAGAATCATCCTTTTTTTTTTCTCCCCCCCATCCCCCCTCAACTTTTCCCTTCCAAGTTTGGGAGCCTCTGGCGGGGCAAGTACCTGGGATTCCTACAGTGACCATTTTACCATTGAAACGTGCAAAGAGACAGACATGCTGAACTACCTCATCGAGTGCTTTGACCGAGTTGGAATAGAGGAAAAAAAGGCACCAAAGGTACTTTGCAATTGGTTTTTCTTCTTCCTTCTAAGGCCTGGGGCACAGTGTCTCATTTATCCAATCAGCACTTAGGCCAGCAGACCTCAGCCATGGGCCAGGTGCAGGACTAGGAGCATGGGGGTGTCCCTACTCTCGTAGACTCCCGTTCTAGTGGAGGCAAGAAGGGGCAGGACCACGATGTGAACCCAGGTAGGCTGGCTTCACAGTCTTCTCTCCTCATCATCCCACTGAACGTGAGTGCCAGGAAGCGCTCCAGGGCCCTGGTCCTGTCTCACAGCCCATTGTAACCATCACAATAACCACCCATAGCCTGCACTGCAGTCTCCGGGTGAGGTCTGCATGAACCCCATCCTTCTGTTAACCTAGTACAAGATGGGTGTTAGCTTTCCCATTGTGGCAATTAAGGGACGAACCTGTGTGAGCTTAAGTGCTTGACCAGAGGTTGCATAAACCGTGATTAAGCCCCGGAAGCCATTCTTTCCTCCTGACGCTCTTCAATATTTTCTTCCTTATTCCTATTTCATTTTCTGGTTCCAGTTTTATATTAGAAACTACCGGCAATCTGGTTGGCCAACCTGCTAGTGTCAGGTTGGTGAAGCACCTTGGCGGAGTTTCGTGCACTGGCCCCTAGCAGGAGCAAGGAGAATGGTTGGCACATCTGTGACCATCTCGAGCTTGGGGGGCCTTCCTCCCTGCACGTAGGCGATGGTCACGTTTTTCTTCTCACTGTGATGAAAAGGAAGAAAAACCGCCTTTTTCTAGAGCTCAGTCAGTTCTGACGAGTATCCGTTTTCAACAGTATGGGATCCTTCTGTATGGCCCCTGCCGTCCTAACCGCCACCTGTCTTTTTCAGATGTGCAGCCAGCCGGCCGTCAGCCAGCTTCTGAGCAACATCCGCTCACAGTGCATTTCCCATACTGCATTAGTACTCCAAGGCTCCCTGACACAACCGAGGTACGAGGAGCCCTTCGAGGGTTGGGATTCGCAGAGAGGGCATTATTTCCACCAATGGGCACCTGGCCATCCGGCCACTTCCAACACCTTGAAAAATTCACCCTTCACCTGTGAAATGAAACTATCAGGGCCCATTCCTTTTCTAAAGCACTCTCACAGGGATCCTCCTTCCTGCCGACACATTTCCCCCTTCATCTCCTGTACTAGTACAAAGCAGATGTTGAAAAGAAATCGAGTTCAAAGGAATTGCTTGAAGAGTTTTTCATGCGTTGTTGAGATAAAGCATTCTTGAAATAAAGACAGGGTGGACTTTCTGAAGCGCCCTCACATTGTTTGCTGAACTTTAACCATATTATTTTTTAGACTATTTGAAAACAAAGGGAATGATGCACATGCCCCCACAGCTTTAAAACAATGTCCCAAGGTTACAAGAGTTTTAAAAAGCCCTCGGCCCGTGCTAGTCTATTTTGCAAATTGAATGAGATATAAATAAATGAGGGACCTTCAAAACATTTGCAGAAAAACTCCACTATCTTTTAAATTACATTTTTCTACAAACTTTTTGAATCCCTGCTCAAAATAAAAGAAACATAATGCTTTGTCTTAAAAATTATTTGGAAAAGGTGCCCTGGTGGCATAGTGGCTGCAAGTTGGGCTGCTATCCAGAAGGCCCGCGGTTCAAAATCACCAGCTGCCCCATGGGAGAAAGATGAGGCTTTCTATTCCTGTAGAGCAGCGGTTCTCAACCTGTGGTTGCGACCCCTGTGGGTGTCGACAACCCTTTCACAGGGGTCACCTAGTACATCCTGCATATCAGATTTTACATTACGATTCATAACTGTAGCAAAATTACAGTCGAAAAAACTTTTATGGTTGGTGGGGGGGCGGGGGTCACCACAACATGAGGAACTGTATTAAAGGATCACGGCATTAGGAAGGTTGAGAACCACTGCTTAAAGAGTGACCGCCTTGGAAACCCACAGGGGCCGTTCCACCCTGTCCTATAGTGTCGCCATGAGTCAGCATTGACTCAGTGGCAGTGAGTTTTGGGGTTTTTTTTGTTTGAAAGGCTGTATATAGGAAAATATGTGTTTTCTGGTATTTCCTGTATTTATAGAACCTCTCATTACAAATGCTCCAAAGTGAATACCACTGAAAGGAAGTGTGATGTCCCCAACACTGGGCAGACTGTGCCTGGACAGCGCTGGGCTTCTTTGGGCATGTGGTGGTGAACTGATGGCCTCTCAGCCCTCGATCTCCGTGTGTCCACAGGTCCATGCAGCAGCCGTCGCTCCTGGTGCCGTATATGCTGTGTAGGAATCTCCCGTACGGCTTCATTCAGGAGCTGGTGAGGACAACGCACCAGGACACTGAAGTGTTCAAGCAGGTATGGATTGGTGAGAAACTCCCTGGTGTGTTTAAAATTGCAGAGTCTTAGCACCTCTTCTGTCACCCAGTCTCAAACACTTGCCTTTTATCTTTTTCTTCGTTTTTTTTTTTTTTCCCCCCTAGAGAAATGAGTAAAATAGAGTTAGTACACTGAAAAATGAGATTTTACCTTTCTCAACCCAAACCACATTTACTGCCATCAAGTCAATACAGACTCGTAGTGACCTCATAGGATAGGGTAGCACTGTCCCTGTGAATATTTCTGAGGGCTGTGTATGGGGTAAAAAACTGGGGGTTACATGAGCAGAAAGGGGATTCATCCAAGTTTTCAGCAGTTGTATAGAATGCTGTCGTCACAATGTCTTGGGCTTCAGATCACCAGCAGTTGTTTTTATCGCTGTCTACATCGTTTTCTACCTCGCGTTATTAGTCTTGAATCCCAACAGCTCCCTGGCCTGGATGTGCGTTGTGAGATTTGAAGATGGGCTGTGTTGTGCCAGTCTTGCATAGTGTTCACGTGCCGGAGTATTATTAGTGGTAAATACTCAAAGTAAACTTAAGGGCCAGGTTATTGTATTAATGATAATGTGTCATTCTAACTAAATTTTTATTCAGCCATTTAATATTTACCAGTTGTCTCTTTGGTCTGCGTAAGGAAGGTTAACACAGAAATATCATCTATTGGCTTGTTTTTCTTGTTCTCAAAACAAACAGAGAAAGGTGTATATTACAAGTATATATTACCATATATACGCATGTATAAGCCGAGTTTTCCAGCACATTTTTAATGCAGTTTTTGTGGTAAAATTAGATGCCTTGGCTGATATTTGTGTCAGCTTATACTCGAATAGATACGGTATATGGAAATGGGAGGGTAGCAACTAGTACCGATGATAATTTTTAAAAATAATACTAGAGCTTAGATAATATTTGAACAGATGGCTTAGTTTTTTTTTAAAGATCACTTTAGAGTTACTAGCTAATCAAAAACATGAGTCGGTGAGTTTATTTGATTAGACCAAGTGAAGTCCCTTGATTCCAAGTTGTAGCAACCTCACAGGTATAGGATTTCTAAGACTGTAAATATTTATGGATACATACAGCCTCATCTTTCTCCCTTGGAGTGGCTAGTGGGTCTGAACTGTCAACCTTGTGGGTAGCACTCTGTTACTTACTCAACAGCGCAACCACAGTTCTTTGAAGGTTCTTTCTGGAGGCTCCAAATTTGGGAGTTTCTATTTCACAACCGGCGGCTCTGCCTAAGGATAGTTTTCTTTTTTGGGGGGGGGCTTTTTTAAAAATCGTTTTATTAAGGCCTCATACAACTCTTATCACAATCCATACTACATCCATTGTGTAAAGCACATTTGAACATTCATTGCCCTCAAGGGATAGTTTTCTTAGGATATCAGGATTCACTAAAATCCTCTTAGTTCCGAAGAGTCCCACTGTATTATTTTGTGGTGGACCTCATAAAGGACATATCCATACTGTGTAACTGGGTTCTGTTGGGTCTGTTGTTACCGCCTGTTGGGTCACGTTTCCCCTCATAGCTCTTCAAGGTGACAAAGTGGATCTGCTCCAGAGAACTTTCTAGGCTGTCCTTTGTGTGAGAAAGCAGCCAGGTCTTTTCTCCCATGGAGTTACTGAGTGGGTTTGAACCAGCAACCTTCCCATTAACAGCTGAGTCCTCCTTGGGCTCCTGCAGCTGGGTTCAGTATTCCGTGCTCAAAAGCTTTTCTGTGGGGACCCAGTGGGCATGACCAGACAGTCAGGAGTCAACAATTTTTGAATATGCTTCATATGTTTAAAATGCTTTTACTTATATAACTGATTTTGTGATTTTTTTTCTTTCTTTTAGATCTTTATCCCCATTTTACAAGGCCTGGCGCTTGCTGCCAAAGAGTGCTCCCTTGATAGCGACTACTTTAAATATCCCCTCATGGTAAAACTTTTGTTTAAATATTTTTTAGCTGTTTCTCCATCTAATAGCTATTTCTCTGGCAGATTATTTTAACATATACTTTTCTTTCACGTCTCTATGATCCACTTGATTTTCAAATATAAAACATGAAATCTTTGTGTTGGCTCTACAGTGCTTTTGCTGTGCGGTGAGATGCATCAGGGGACAGCAGTTAGCAGTTTGGTACATATCCTACCGACCCAGTCCTAGACAGGAGCTAGTGATGGTCTCCTGGGACTATGGCACCATTCTGTGAACCAAACCAAACTCACTGCCGTTGAGTCAATTCTGCCTCATAACAAGCCACCCCGTGGGTTTCCCAGATTCTGAACTATTTATGGGAGTAGAGAAAGCCTCGTCTCTCTCTCAGAGCTGCTGGTGGTTTTAAACTACCAACCATGCAGATCACAATCCCACTTGTAACCGCTATTCTGTATAGTTTATTTAAAGGATAACTATTGGCCGTGCACCTCCAAGTCCCCTACTCATAAGCACAGCATTTTGGAGTGACATTTCTTATTTTAAAAAAACAAACACCAAAAAACTATTCTAAATGCAAATCAAAAGACAAAATTGTAATAAGCAGGTGTGATGCAATCTGCTTTTTATGGAGTGCCTTTCAGCAAAAAATCTCAGAAGTAATCCTGTTGTCATCTTCCAATTTCCTGAGCCTGTCTACCTCATCCGTGGGCATCCCTTGGAAAACACTGATCTGTTGGCTCTCTCAGTCCCTTAGAAGAAGCATAAAATACTGGCAGAACCTGGGGCTCAATTCTCCAAGTGGGATTTGGACAGTGGAATTTGACTGTCATGACAGCACAGTAACTAAGATGAAAATAAGATGGTCTTCTTTTCCCTGAATTTGCTTCAAGTGTGACACAATGTCTTTCATTCTGGATATACCGAGGAAGAAGCGTCAAAGTCTCACAATGAGTTCCCCTTATGTATCTACAACTTAGTGTAAGTTTAGGCCTTTCTTAAATTGATGTATTTTAGGCCATTTATTCCTTTTCCCCATTCTACTGAATTGATTCAACTTGCTCCTGAATTAGTCCTTCCTTAGGATCTGTTTAGAGGCAGGCACCCGCGAACACAGGAACTCGGGCGACAAGGGCCTTCTCCTCCAGGTGCTCCTCCTGAACAGCTGCAGAAACCCAGCCGGCCCGCATGGCACATTTAGGTGATTACAGCACAGTGAGTGCTGAAAGAGCTGTGTGCCCAAAGGCTACATTTACCTATTTAAAAACACTAGCCAGTGAGGAAAGGTTCTGAAAGTTAAAAACAGTACCGGAAAATTAAAAGGTGAGATAGGAATGCTTACTTTGAAAGCTAAACGTGGAATGGCTCTATGCCCGGGTGCTTCCCAGTGTGCATGTGATTCAGGCTCCTCGTAAGATTCTCCCCATCCTTGTTCAATGCGTGTGGCAGAGGAAAGGGAGTGGGCTAATGTGAGTATGTGGTTTCCAAGACGGGGTGTTTTAATGAGCACTGATCACCACTAGGTTGTGTGGTTATTCCTGCCTGGAGTAGCTGGCTCTGGGTTGAGCTTTAAATCAGCTCAATGAGGTCACAAAAGGAGCTTTTAGTGCCAGATAGCAACAAAATGTCCTTGGCCGGAAGACAAAGGCTTCCATGGGGCAGACGGTTTTGTACCATTACTGCTGCCTGTGCAATAATGGGAGTGAAGAGGACCGAGGTGGGAACTGAAGTCAGGAAGAATGTGGACCCCAGCTTTGCCATACAATGGAGTCTGCTGAGGAGCTGTTAATAGTACCGATGCCTGGCTCCCATCCTGGACAGAGTGACTTCCTTGGGATGAAGAAGAGGGATATGGGGAGAAGTGGCTTGGCTCCCTAATTTTTTTAAAGCCTCCCCAGTGATCCGCGTGTACAATGAGCATGAGGAGCCCCTCCCTAGACAGTGACAACTTCTGCCCAGCAGCAGTGTGTCCGTACCTGAACCGTCGACCACAGCCTCCTGCTGCAGGCTTAGTGCTGTGTATCTGGTTCCAAATTACAGAGACCCCCCATTCACTCCTGACCCCATGTTGGATCGCATTAACAGGGCCAAGTAAAGTGTTCAGTGTGCTTTTGACTCTAAGAGTGGTCTTTCCTGATTCCCTTGTGAGAATGATTGGGACTCTAACAGAGAGTGCTGGGCTTAGAAAAGCTACAATCATGTAAACATAATGCCTTATGTTTACAATCAAAGTGTATTGTTTTAAATGTGGACTGAAGTTGCTAGCTTATAAATTTTCATTATTTATAGTCCTGTTTGGCACTGGCAATATTTAACCTCTCTAAAAATATATGAAGCAGAGCTCTTTTTGACATGGAAAGATGTTCAGTGGAGAAAAAACTGTTTTGGGTAAAAAATGAATACATTTACCAAAAATATATCTAGACAATAATTGGTATATTGGCTTATCATGGATGGGGTGGGATGGGGTTGAGGATTGGCGGGAAATGAGGAGGAAATAATCCAGGAGGGAGAAAGATGTTCTAGAACTGATTGTTGTGATGTGTGTAAAACTCTTTTCAAATATGACTGTAATATGAAGGTATATGATATATATGTGTGTGATATATGTGATATATATCTCAATAAAACTATGGGGGGAGGGAAAAGGATATCTAGAAAGCTATTCGCCAAAATACCAATAGAAGTTACCTAGTTATCTCTGGGTTGGTTATGAATAATTTTAATTTTTGTTACATATTTTGGTTTTTCTGGTTTCCTTTTTTTTTTTTTTTTCTATTCTTGTTTATTAATGTTTTAGTCAGAGAAGGCAGCCACGCTGTTATCATTTTGGGGAGAATGCATATGTCATTGTCGCGGCATTTAAGGCTATCTCTTGATGTTATCCAACGCTGTCAACCTAAGATGAGATGCATTCCCATGGCTCCTCCTGGTTTTCTTTCCAGGCATTAGGTGAGCTCTGCGAGACCAAGTTTGGGAAGACGCATCCCGTGTGCAATTTGGTAAGTGCCCGTTGGCTTGTATGTTTTGAACAAACATCAGAACGCCAAAGGTATCTCTTAGGTAGCATTATCCGAATAATTTCTCTCGAAGGACATTTAAATTACTCCTTCAGAAGTAGTTGGCCTATTGGCTAAATGGCTGTGGCATGCCCTGTTTGCTGGAACAAGCGTGTGTGCTTCACAGCGTGTTGTTACTGATAAATCATGCACAATCAGGATGGCGAGTTCTCCAGGGAAATTTTAAGTGGAGTCCTTGAGTAATTTGGAAGTACCTTCTTTGAACTTTATCAAAGACTATTTCGAAATCAAACTTGGAAAAAAAATGTTGTGGTTAAAATAGAAGGCTGGTGGATGAACAATCTGGAGGAGAAAACAACGGGACTGACAGTTCCGGGGGGACATGGGAG